TGTGTGTGTGTGTGTGTGCGTGTGTGTGTGTGCGTGTGAAGGCGCGTGTGTGTATGTGAGCGGCACTGCCAACGATCCTCTTCGATCACAGTAAACAGGGTGAGACAAAAGGTCAGATCACGATGGACCGACGCGTCGCTATCATGATCTGCAGAGGCCCTGGTGTAGGTCTGTTTGTCACTTCCTAAAACTGAGGTGTTTTAAGACGTTTAAGTCTACAATGTTTTCTGGAGGCTCTCCGCGGTGACGTTTTTACCCTGTGGTTGGAGCAGTGGATCTGTGTGTTTGTGCTTTGAGTGGCGGATGTACGTTCTTTAGTATTTCTTTTCTGAAAAGGCACAAGTGTGGATAACCCTGATGAACAAAGACAACTCCTCTAAGCTCACAATAGATACCATAGCTCAGACAAACATTTGGAGAATGAGAAGAAGACGCCACAAATTCTGTTGTATTTCAGCGTAAATCAATTTCAGCTTGCGTCACTGTGTGTCGTAGTCTTTGTGTTGTTGCATGAGTCTGTGGGGGCACAGAGTGAAGAATGAGCTCCTTGTCGAGGGGTTCATTGGTACGGGTTCCCAGTAAAGTCTGTCTATTTGTGTTAGGAGGTACGTAGGAAGCTGAGTGTTTGATGTGTGCGTCAACCGTCCCACTGGAGGGTGCTGTGCTGTGGACAGACACTGTGCTTAATGGTTCCAAAGCTGCGGACCACCAGCCACGATCTCCCCTCAGGCCATCAGAAGGATATTGAGGCAGAGGTGTTTGTTTAACGAAACGAAACATACAGACTGAAACCGGCAGCTCGGAAAACCACGTTTCCTTCCTCACGGCTCAAACCGAGACGCTTAAGCTGTGCCGTCCCTCCGTCTGTGACGATGGATGGAGGATGACGTCCATCCTCACGTGCTCTTGTGTAGATGCCCAGACACACAAACACAAACAAAGTTACACGCATGGAAAACACTTGCTGATCCAGTCACCGAGACACACACACACACACACACACACACACACACACACACAGCTTCTGCTCCCTAAATAACCAAACCTACATTGATGGGTAAAAATAATGGCGTGCTTCACACACATTGTGTTAAATGGAATGTTGGGACTTATTTTCACTACTATTTTGTAAAATCTGTGAAATGTGTCTAAACTTTTATGTGCAGCACCATACGTTTTATGTGTAACATTCTTAGCTTCAGTCAGGCACAGAGGCCTTGGATAAATGTAATACAGTAAGATATGTATCTGAAATAGAAACAAATATAGTATATAATGACAAGCAACCATAAAATGGAAACACACACACAGTCATGTTTTTATGATTATTAGAGACATTACATTGACTTAGATTCTGACCCGAACATAAGCATTGCCAGCATAGTCCCAACCCTTGCCCTAACCGTCAACTCACTCTAACGTTGCTCTATTACCAAACAAAGTCTTCACCCTGAAGTGAAATAGTTGACGTAATGGGGATGTGTGTCCCTGAAAAGAAGGTGTGACACCACAAAGTGTAATCGAATTTATTTCACCACAGGTAAAACGCATTCACAACCACAAATGCATCACGTCAAATTTATCTTCCTTGAAGAATGATTATATCCTAAACGTTAAACCCAAACCACAATCCCAAAACACAGGAATTAGACAAACAATGATTTACATGAGTGATTTGCACTTACTGGTGCCCTATACTGGCTCCCAGTGGAGGTGGTAGTTGCTGCACACATTTCACAGGCAGGAGCAGAATTCATTATTTTTTTTAACTTACCATATAAATAAAACTGCAAAAAATGACAAATTAAATCAAACGTTTTCCTAGTCACTAATTTTGTCAATACTGAATGTGAAGATCCTCGAGTCACTTGTTGGCTATTGAACCAGCCAGAGTGCTGCTTTTCAGAGCGCCCCGCGGTCGCTGTCACCATGGAAACGCTCGACCCTTTGGTCACTGTCACAACCGTGGCTGAATTCTTTAAAGTCCGATCCTGTCTTTACAACCGAGTGTGTTGGAATAGCAATCAGCTCCCTCCTGCATCTGTTGACCTCCCCAAGCTGACTGGTCAAGAACAGCTACGTGGTGAGACTCAGAACATTTGCTGGAAATGCCGTTAATAACCTGGTGACATACGGTCTCTGGTAAGTGTTCTGCAGAGGTGTCCATCTGTGTATGAAAGAGGGAACTTTCTTTCTAATCACGTCAGTGAGCAATGGTGTTGGGGTTCAATGACATGGTCATAAAGATAAACGCATTTGCCACGATAGAGAGATAGAGAGGTCCTCAACAAGGTGACAAAACGTTCAACACTAGAGAAGGAAATGAATGAAAGTTTGAGTAATCTTTATAAGCAGTATTGGCATTGTAGTAGAAGTGGGCTGATCAACAATCATATGGTGACAATAAAACTAAGACCCGTTTTGAGTAGCAACACGCGTGTAAACGTGATGAATCCAAGAATGGAGATTGATCGATCATATTCTGCACTAATGTACTATATACTACGTTAAACATCAGTTATTGCACAGAATATTTTCAGTACCTCTCAGTTGCTGTTTGTTTTATTATTTGTATATTTCATTAACTGTTTTGGCCTCTTAATGTGCTTTTATGTGTGGCTTTTCTCATTTCTTTTTTTGTGATTAATTATGTATTTGTGTATTTATATAAGTAGCTGATGCAACACTGCAAGTCATGAAGTACTCGTGGCTTTGTGACGCCCTGCCTTTGCAGTGCAGGGGAGTTTGGTTGTGCCCATTGATTCCTGTTTCTGGATCAGCAGGTACAGACCTGACCATGGCATGTGATAACTAAGCTCCCACTAACTGACTTCTTTCCTCCCAAAAGGCCGCGCCAAGTCTCCAATGGTCTGACGTGGGAAAAGAAAGAAGACATTAGTTTAATTAAAACTGTCACTATCTAATCCACACTCAGTTTGTTTATCATGTGAGTAAAAATCCGAGGCTTATATTAATACAATAGGGAACGGATACTGCTGGATTCGGCCAGAGGGTGAATAAAACCAGTTATAACAGCATGTGACCACCGAGGGGCACAATCTACTTTCAGCACTCCTTCCTCAGCGCACAAAGTGCTCCAGCAGAGGTCCCCACTGGAACAGTTGAACACGGTCCTGGTAACGACAACCGGTTATTATTCTGTAGACATTATCATCAAATGAACCACTTTAGAGACCCTCAGTGTAGCCCAAAAACACAGAAATGTCTTTTTACCGGAAATGGTTGTGTTAAAAGTGAAGAAGACGTAGCAGAACTGAAATAATGGATGAATTTGGACTTATCTGATATAACCATTGGTTTATCCATACATAATGCAATGCATGATAGTGACCATGCAAAACTGTTTTTAAACATTTAAGCTTATAATGTGTGATATTTGTTTTGACTCCAACACAACACCACCATAACTGAGACCACATATCTACAGCTGGACCAGCACCTTTCCACAACAAGAACCTTATTATGCTCCCAGAAGCAGCTCAAGAAAAACACAATTAACTGTCATGTATCCTCCTGAAGTCACAGTGAACTGCTGATGGACCCGAGGAAAACGATTCAGCTCCAGAACATGGTTCAATATAAGAGATTTTTACTTGTGAAGCCCAACTAAATAAAACTGATCTGTCAGCCAGCCCCTTTCTTTCAACGTCCTAAATGTTTTTACATTATCATAAAGATGTTAACTCAATTATATATTTTAACATTGAGCTCATATAAGTGGCGGAGAGAAGTTTCTAAAATGACCTATGATCTCATATAAGTATTTTTACCCAGTCCTGACAAAGTCAACAAAAAGCCAACAATTAGACCCGTTGTAACTTAGTTAATGGTGGATCTTCTGCATTGAGTTCATCGATTAATGCATAATTTAATATCAAATATTTCTCTCTATTCTCGTTAAAAAAAAGCTTTGCGGTTATTAAATGTACCGGCAGGTGTGTCAACACCTTTAACCCGGGTTCTAATAAAGTAACAACCAAGAAACAAACAAAAACTAATTTGAAGAGGAAAATGAAAGGTGGAAAATCTCCAATTTGCTGCAGGGATATTTCACTGTATTCTATATTAGGTGTAATAACGGTCACCTACCTTACCGTATGTTATCCATATTGAACGTGTATGATCATTTGTAAGAAGGCTCTTCAGGGAGGTGTCCTGAGAAGCCAGTCGCGGTGATTATATCGGAGTTCCCCTTGAGCCCTCGTGCGAATGTGTCATAGCAATACAGACAATTGAAAAACAGGCCGAGGGCGTGTGAGAGAACGTAGAAGTGGACAAATTCAGCATGAGTTACTATTTGGCTGCATCTCAGAACACTTTCTAACAGCCTCGTGGACATCTGCCTGAAGTAACACAAAGATCACTCTCACACACACATACACAGATGCACACATCCATAACAAAAAATAAAAACCTCTGGATGATGTGACACATTACTCACAGGCTGCAGGCTAAACGTGTGTTTGTTGCCCCGTGTTGCTATTGGTTACTTCTGGCATTTGCTTCCCGTTGAAGCTCCAATCAAGGCTGAACTGTAGAATAATAATAACACGAACATGAAGGTACCCGCAAGTTTGCCATCCAGTCACTAATTAAACAAAGTTGACTTATTCCTACGGTCTCACAGTGCATTTGGTCGCCTTTTTAAAATGCATGCAGACCTTTATAAAACAAGAGAAATATTGTACTTTTAAGACCACTACATTTATTCCTTCCTTACACCTTCCTTACTCTGAAATGTCCGATTAATAACTAAAAATACAATCAACAATTAAATTGAGGTGTAAAATTTGAAAAGACTATATTTACTCACCGCTGTTGTTCACTGAGCTCAAGAGTATTTCAACACCGCGATAAAGGATCATTCACGCCGCTGGGGGGACTCGGGTGTGCCGGGGCCGGATCGGGGGGGGGCGGGGCCTCGCTGGAGGAAGTGGCTCCTCGCGGCTCGGACGTGTGTATCTGCAGGACGTGTGTGAGCGCGTGGAGCAGTCACCTCCACCGGGGAGAGCGTCGCCAACCACTGGAGCGCCTCCTCCCACAATACCCCCACCCCCACCCCACCCCCACCACCACCACAAAAAACACGACGAGCGAAACACGAAGAAGAAAAAAAGAGCAAACAACCCGACGCGCGAGCTCGCTCTCCGTGGTCTGTTCCCGTCTCGCCTCGTCCACAGGTTGAAGCGGCGCGGCGCTACGATGCATTCGGACTGCAGGCTGCTACGGGCAGAGCGGTAATGGGGGGCGCGGACCCGGCGGCGGCCGGGGTTCTCCTCCGGGCGATCCTCGTCCTGCTCGCCGCGCGGGGCGGTCGAGCCCAGAAAGGTCGGTGACAACTGGAGCGGCGACACGCGGCCACGGTCGGGTTTTTAAACGGCGTGGACGCGGAGAGAGGCGGCGGGGGGGGGGTTAAGGGATTGTGTTTACATCGGTACTGTCTTCCCGACCTTACGAGGCCCCGCTCGGGGGACGGCGGGTGAGGGAGGGAGGGGGGGGGGACCGGTGGAGAGGAACCAGGCGAACCGGTTATGGGAGGAAAAAGAAACGTAAAGTAACGACCGCTCGTCCTGGTAGGAGCTCGCTGAATGAACGTTGTGGCGTTTCGGGATTCGTTAAAAGTTAAAGACACAGTCTATCACTCGTTGGCCTCCTTCTCTTTCTGTCAATAGTTTGTCTTTTTAATGGAGTCCGGCTGTGCGGCTTGGGGCCTCGTTGCTCGCGCCAGGTAGTTAATAACTTAACGTGAATTTACGTGGGTTTACTGTTGTTTAGTCGCCCTTGAGAGCTGGTTGGCAGTGGATGTGAATCTCTGTCAACACGTGGACACATTTTGTCATAACTAAGATTCGCACGGACAGAAGCGAGTGAAAGAGTCTCCTGGTGTTTTGTGTCATCGTGTGAATCCTCCTCCGACCTCTGATGACCAGAACAGCGCGATGGATTGGGATTGTTGTGATTTTGCATTTTATTTATGTATTTTTAATTTGACGAAGGTAATCCGAACTGTTGGACCTGTTCAGTATTTGCGAGTCAAGGGTTGCGAGGGAAGCAGCTTTTGTTTTTGTCCTGTTCATCTGGACAGTGTCCACCGAGGGGCTCTTGCGTAACTTTAGGCTCCCAGAACCTGCACTCGGCACCCTGAGGCGTGACCGTGTGTTATCTCAGTCCACTGCAGAGGGGACACTCTAACAGACCTCGTCCTCAACTAGTCCGAGGCCCGGTTGTTTGTCTAATGGGATCAATGACCCGCCGGGGCGTCTTCCATTCTTGCTCTTATCTTGGATTGTGTGATTCCATCAGTTTGAGGTTCCTGCAACATGGCCAGATGTTTTTGATATGTTGCCGTGATGCTGCTTTCGTTCCACGGCGGGCTGCAGGGATTTTCTCCAGTGGATTAAGTTCATTTAAAATCCAGATGTCTCCGACTGTCCCGGTTTTCGTCCTTTTTTACCCCAAAATATTGAGTTTGCTCACAAGGCAAAGTAATACTGCAGCTACTCGCATTCAAGTATATATTGAATATTTGGCTGTTCTTTTTTTCTTTTGATGATTCCGAATTGATCGATTGTACAAATACTTGAAGTCTACTACTTGACAAACCCTCTAATATTTTCAGCTCCAATTCAAAGCAATTTACAGTTGTTAAATGTCGTACTCGCAATCAATTTGAGGTTTTTATATCTTGTTTAATGACTCCGCAAATTGACGACAGAAGTTCATCCACCAACCATTTATGGCTGCGTCGCTCTTATCGCCTCGTCTACAGGCGCCTCAGACATCAATTACGTTCTACACTTAACAGATGGAAAGGCCCTTTTTAGTGAGGGCCGTCTCTAATTATACTGTATCCAGTGTAAAGAGGCACAAACAAATCCCCAAACGCACAAAGCGGTGCATCTTTGTCTTCATTACATGGCCTGATCCCTTTGTGTGCCAAAGGAGAGCGGCGCTGCTGATTTATTGATGTACAAGAACAAACGTATGCGCTGTGAGGTAGATCCTTATCAGCCAGAGATGGTCAGCAGAAAAACACAAGGAACTGGGGGGGGGGAGATATTTGAGATCTAGGTGGGATGTTTCTCTTATCAGCAAATCCAGTGTAGAAAAAAATAAATACTGTTTGAAATATTCAGTATATTAGAATAATATTTCAAAATGTTTGAAGTGTATAAAAAAAATGCAATCAATAAAATCAAGTCAGTTTATGGCAAAAGCAGAAAAGCGTTTGGTTGGTGACTAGTTTTGCTTGTGGATTCCAGCACACTTCATGTAGTTGCATTTATAATATTATTATTATTCAAATTAAAATGCCATGCACAAAAAATTTGAACAGCATCTGCTTTCTATCACGCTGACTGAATGAGGGCTGAACGTTGCATTTACAGCTACGAAAAGCAAGCAGAACACCCGCGTTCTGTCTCTCTCTCCAAGTACTACGGACAACGCACGTCAGACGCCGCTCTCCTGAAGTGACCCGTACGTGAGAGTCACATGGCTTCCAGCCAACGATGATGATGTTGTTTTTTCTGTAGCTAAATTCCAAACAGGGAAAGTCTATGAGTGAAACAGAATCAATCAAACTTATTTCAGACTCAAGGGACAGATAGTAAAAAACAGTAAGTAAAAATAAAGAAATACTCCGCTTGTGTGCTTTCTCAGTCGTGTCCATTTTTTCTCTCCCTCTCTTAACTGTGTTTTGTGTTGTCCTGCAGGTGATGGCTGTGGCCCCAGTGTGCTTGGCCCCAGCAGTGGGACTCTGTCCTCCCTGGGTTACCCGGGGACATACCCCAACAACACGGTGTGCGAGTGGGAGATCAGCGTTCCCCGCGGCGACCGGGTCCACTTTCGCTTCGCGGAGCTGGACGTCGGAGACGGCAACTGCCAGGTCAGCTACCTCCGCCTCTACAACGGCGTCGGGCCCGAGAGGAGGGAGATTGGTGAGAGACAAACGGACACTCGACGCAGTGAAGAAGGGCTTTTGGGATGGTTAAATAGAAAGAGGAAGCCAGGCTGGATCCTGGCTACAATAAAAAAAGAAAAACCGATGTATGTTTGTGCTGCCTGCAGTGATGCTTAAATCATTTTGACATTAGTGAGTTTACCGAGTTGACTCTCAGGGTTTTTAGGGTATGAAGCCCGTTACTTAACGCTTCACAGCAGGTTGTTTTTCTTTCCTTTTAGCTGTGAAGATATTGGATACGGGGCCAAAACGAACCCTTTGCACTTTTCTCACTGTGATCCTGCAAACATCAAGTATTTGTTTGCACAATTGTCAAGAAGTCAAGCTGCTGCAGAAAGCCGGGTTACTGGAGTGCGTGTAGTCTTAGACGTGATCGAGTCGCTTGTGACACAATGACTGCCGATGAACATTAAGCTTAATGGGACCAATAGATTTAGTAAGTTTTCCCCTTCGTGCCTTTAGCCACGCTACTTCCACCCACCGCTAGACAAGGGTTCTTCCAGCGCCAACACCGTTCATCGAATATATTATTATGTGTTTTGTTTTGTTAAAACGGAGACAAGCTCGTTTGACCGACCCAAATGTCTCTCTCTCTCGCTCTCGCTCTCGCTCTCGCTCTCGCTCGCTCTCTCTCTCGCTCTCGTTCCCTCCGCATCTCACAGTGAAATACTGCGGGCGAAGTGTGAAGGTCAAAGAGCTGATCGAGTCCACTGGAAACCAGGTCACTGTCCAGTTCATGAGTGGGAACCATCAAGGCGGACGTGGCTTCTACCTGTCCTACTCCACCACCAAACACTCGGGTAAGGCTTTTGTAGTGCGCATGTACCAACACAGTGTTTGGGTGCATTATTCTCCGGATCGCCAGGGGCTGCTTGGACTGAAGATGACTGGAGAATCAAAAAAGTGTAACCGGCCCAAATCCCTAAACTGACCTCCGCTGTGCAGATGAGGGATGCTGATTATCTTATTATCTTAAGTCGTATCTCATATTCACAGAGTACTTGTTTGCCTTGTATGAGTCCCGGAGAAGGAAGTAAAGTCTTAGGCTAACATTCCAGCGATGACCACGCTAACGGGAACATGCTTATGATTTATTTCACTTAATTAGTGGGTGAACTTGTTCCACTTAGCACCGAGTATAGCTGAGGTAGACAAGTGTGTCATCTCTTTTGTTTTGTTCAAATACAGTGACCTGGGGTCCGTTTCAGGAAAACTCAATGAACGGAAAATCTGGCTTGTTTGTTTCACAAAGGGAGGTGACTAAAGCTCGGGGTCAGTCGCCATGGTAACTGAGCCTGTGAACATAACTTGGTCCATAGCAGGTTTTCTTCAACAAACCTTGAGTTTCTTTCACAGTCTCCTCCCTCTGACAGCAGCCCAGCCAATCACTAAAGTGTTTTCTCAAACATGGCGCGTCTTTTTCTGGACGATCCTGTTGATGAAGAAGCAGTTTTACTTCGCAGGGTGTTAAACACGTCGGTAGAGAATCAGGCCCCGATTAGATATATTGTCATTTCCAGATAACTACTTGTTTGAACGGTAACGTTTTTCTCCAGTCCATGAAATATGTACATGACCTCACCCGTCCTCATATAACTAACGTCACTCATCGTGGACGTGCTCTCACATACGAGCACCTGCATCAAACGCATTACAGGTTCAATACTGTTGTACCTGTTTTTACCTGCGATATTGTTCTTGTGATTAAATATGAGCACGGGTGTGTATTTCAAGCCTGTGTGTGTGGTGAATTCAAACAGTGTAAAACATGTCATTTTCCCACTGGGAATTAGTAAAACGTATGGATCATGATTAGTGTTGACCCGAGCGTTCACACTCGCCGCACGCCTGCATTAACGACTCCAACTCAATAAGGGTGAAGTACGCCGACCAATCTTTTTGTTTTTGTAGTTGTTGCCATAGTAACTCGTAGTATCGTGGCTCCATTCATGCTGCCTTCATACCGTGGTGGTGCACGCGCTGAGTCAACCTACTCCAAGTTGATTGAACCAACTCTAAACAGCTGTTCTGAAACCCCAAACGCCGAGCTTCCCATCTCAGGGTGAACCAACTCCCGAGTTTAGGGTTTGACTTTGTTAAACCTCCTACTTGAAATGGACCCCTGGGGACCATCACCATCTGTGCAGACTTTAAATACATGTTATTATTTCAGGGTAACTTGTGTTTGACTGGTTCCATTCACTCCGAGATCCCATCATGCGTCGCGTTTTAAACTGGGTCTCCTGGCTTGTCGTGCATCGGGCCCCCTGAGGATCTCTACACAATATTTCAGTAAACGCAACACTATGCATTTTGTAAAATGCGGCTCTTATTTTAGTGTCTGTGTTGTGTCGGATGGGGCCGCCCTGTTTTACCGGGGCGCAGACGACGACCTTTTCCTTTGATCGTGTAGGCAAAACCCCTTCTAGTGTGAGCACAGGGCCGTGTTGAATACAGAAGAGCGGCACGAGCAGATGTGTTTATATTGCCTCCACTGTGCCGCCTGCGTTTGGCCATATTGGAGATTTACAGCCCTCCGTGTCTAAGCGCAAAAAGATGATGAACTGCTTTATTGTTATTGCATTGGTGGTTTGCGGTTGTGACTTTCTCACACTCGGCCGCTGAAAGATGGCTATGAGGAGGAGACAGGCCTGTGGACACGGGGACATTTAAGAAAACCGGGTTATTGAGAGAAATGGAAATGATATTTAGTCATTTAAAGACCACCTGCCTGTTAGAAGCTGTTTATTCTTTCTCTAACGTGATGCCATTGCAGAAGTGTCTCTTTAACACGCGGGCCTCATGGCTGTCCCGTCCCTCAGAAGCAGCATTAAGTGGTATTAGCATTAAGTATCGAGTGATATGTTCACCCTTGATTAGTGCACAAATAACATAACGCAATATGTTATTTGTTGTTGTTTAACAGTGGTGAACGCGCTTCCGATTATCGAGGTCTGCCACTCATTATTTGTAAAAGGCTCTTTTCTTGTACGGTTGAACAATGGACGATCCCTTCTCTGAGCGAGGAGGCACGTTTTGCTGTCTGTGCCATTTGGAGCTAAAAACCAATATAGTTGATGATAATCGATGGTACAGATGTAATCCATCTGATGAACAAATACCGTGGCCACTCAGTGCTTCTGTTCCACGGGACACGGAGACCAAGTCCGAAATGCATTTTCTGCTCATTAAGGCTGTAATTGTGACTTTAGCCGGCCGCGCTTTGTGGAAAATCTTTAGATAAACGGATAATTGAAGCCACAAGAAGGTGTGTGTGTGTGTGTGTGCGCGTGTGTGTGCGCGTGTGTGTGCGAGTGAGTGAGTGAGAGAGAGATGGTTGTGTCTGGTCGCCCCGCTACTACAGAGTCACACAGAAAGGCAAAACAAGTCCATCACATGGACCCCGACTACACCGCCCCTTCAAAGAACCGATGCGTGTCTTTCGTGTCCTGTGGACAGTTTGCACAGCTGAGCCAATCAGTCGCCGTGGCGACTTGTGGGTGTATTTTGTCAGTCTGAGTCACTGGTTGGTTTTCCCGGATAAATTATGTTTTTCTTTTATCTGTTGGCTGGAGACTGACCACCACCGAGGGGGGTTGCGTTCCCAGAAGCCCTCAGCAGCCCGTTGAGCCGGTGTGATGGGCGGCCTCGCTGCTAAAATACTCGTCAAACACAATTTGACATGTTCGTTGAGCTGAAACCTACTGGACGATTGGGAATATTTGATGTTTTTCTCATTCATGTTGGATGCATTAACCATAAGTTTTGAAAGAATCCTCAGGATAAAAATGGCCCGTTTCCGCTATGAAACGGGTATCGGCGAGCTTCTCTCCCCTGTGCAGTGTGAATGTGTCATGTCGGTTCTTGGAAAGGCTTCTTTGGGAGAGAAACAGGAAGAGAAAATGGGGCTGTGAGGGGGGGGGGGGACATGCAGAGAAACCAGTTATGACACTGTTGGTTCCTCGTTGCAGATCTAATCACCTGCGTGGACAAAGGGACGGATTTCCCCGAGGCAGAGTTCAGGTAAAGAAAGGACGTTTCTGTGTGGATATTTGTGCGCTGGTCGTGCTGTTCAATATTCACGTGCGTGTCTTTTTTTCCCTCTTAGTAAATACTGTCCGGCTGGCTGCTTGACTTCCACAGAGGAGATTTCCGGAACTATGCCTAACGGATACAGAGAGGTGAGGACTTGCACGCGTTTCTTTTGTTAATCCCCTCGTGGTCCCGCTGGCGTCGTGGGCCCAGGTGAGTCACGGTGCCCTGTGGTCCGGTGCTGTTGGGTCGCTGTTACCTCACAGAGTCCAGACTGCCGCCATCAGCTTACTCATGCTTTCGTGGCGCTTCCCAATTGTTTGTTTTTGTTGCCCACCGCTGCTGGTCTGCACATCTTTCTTGTCTTGTCCTTTGGGCCTCTGCTCCAGAAAGTGAGTTCTGCACCGATGACCTCACAGCCCGCCCCCCCACCTCCCCACACACACACACACACACACACTCCACACGGCACGTGAGGTCATGGGCGCCGAGTCTCCGGTTGATGACTTCATGCTCGTAGCTCGGGAGGGGTGTTGCTGGCTGATGGGAGGACAGGGAGGAGCATTGGCTGGGGGGGGGGGGTGGGGGGTGCTTTGGGGAGTGAGGTGCCCCACAGGAACAAAAGAGGGGCCGAGGTCAGCGGGTGAAAGGGAGGTGAGATAATAATTTTGCTGAAAATAATAAGCCTCTAATCCCGTCCAGCTGCCAGAAGGCGCTGAGCTCGGCTGAGTGTGTGTGAGACAAAAAGCCGGAGAGGGTCAGTGAGAGCGAGAGAGAACCTCCGTGTTCACGTGCACACGTCTTCCATGTGCACGGGTGGATTGCCTGTGTTTCAAGTGTCATATGATAGTGACTGTGGGAGGCCTGGTCCACCTGTCCAGCGCCTGCAGCTTACTTTCTCTATTCTTTAAAAAAACAAAAAAAACTAAATCTGGAGTTTCTTACTGTGATCAGCGTGCTGCTTTCTCTAATTCCACATCCCACATACTGTGTGTGTTAGCGCGGTTTCCTCTGTCGGAGGCAGGGCGCGGCGGTTCAGAGCCCAGCGCTGTGTTTGTGTTAGCGGCCTGGTATGGCGCTCTTTTAGGATGTGCCGTTTGCTTTTTGGGGAAGTTGGAGAGTCACGGGACAAGTGTTGATTGCCCGAGGCAGCATTTTACTGTGTGTGTGTGTGTGTGTGTGTGTGTGTGTGTGTGTGTGTGATTACTTCGCTGCTTAGTCGGTCGCCAATGTTTTCCCACAATCGTGTCAGCTGTGAATTCCACCGCGGGTCTTTTCCAGTAATAAAATTCCACCTCACTCGACCAGTTGTTGTTGTTGGTGGAGAAGGAGCTGGCGGAATGCAGCCAGCAGTGAATCATTGCAGCCAGCGACCCTCCGTATCCTCCACACGGAGCGGTGACATAACGCTGACTCATCAGCCTTTTATCTGCAGCGGTCTGCTGGTTGAGGGCTCGTTCTTCGTGCTCACACTCTACGGCAGGAAGCGCTGCCCGCCTTCTAGGAACTGCATCTGCACCAAAGACACAAAAAAAAAGCTTTGTTCCAGATCTTTTAACTCCCAAAGGCCCAGAAGTAGTTGTGTAAAGCGCTCAGTACCGGTAGAGCGCGATGTCTGTCATCATTTGAGCAATATTGTGTAATATATGGTGCTGCTCAGTAAACCTTTAGTTTTAGTCCGATACTGATTTGTTACAACTTACAGGCCGCGCCATTTGGCAATACATGCTTTTTATATTTCAATATTTCTGTCCCAGTCAGCTGCATGTGCGTCGGTGGGTTTCCTCCGTAACATCTGGGCTAACATCTGTTCTAAAGAGAGGTGAATCTAATTGAGTTTGTTGATCATGAGGCCATGAAGCCTCCAGGAACGCTTGAGTTGGATGAAAAATGCTACTGCAACGCACGCTGATGATGAGTCCGGGTTGTCATCATTAATGACCCCAAAATATAATAAAAACAAAAACATCTGCGAATCGTATCTTTTTCCAGATCGTCTCAGTTCATCGGACGCGCTTGCTTTAGTCTCCGGCCCTTAGGCCGTCGTCCCGGAAACGGAATGGCGCGTAACCAGCTTGCCCTCATCCCGCCTCTTCTCTCCCCTCTGCCCCACGCAGTCCTCGCCTGTGTGCGTTGCCGCCGTCCACGCGGGCGTGGTGTCCAACGCCGAGGGAGGGAGGATCGACGTGGTCAGCAGCAAAGGCATCCCGCACTATGAGGCCACGCTGGCCAACAATGTCACTTCCACCGGGTAAGACGGAAGAAAAATAAAACCAAGCAAGACATGGTGGAAAATTTGGATTGTTAGAAAACAACTTGAGCGTTAACTGCTCCTATTTGATCAGCCGGTGAAGTCTGAGATGGACCCATGTCTCTTATCCTGCACTTTTCTCCTCAGAGGAACTTTGTCCAACACCCTCTTCACCTTTAAGACACACGGTGAGTTTTCTTACTTTCTTTCTATTTGTGCCTCGTGTTTGACCTTCTAAGTCCGCATCTGTTGTTTTTGAATGGAGCGGTAATGTCGTTTGTGTCGGGAGGGAAACGCCTGATGGTGTGTGTCTGTCTCTGTGCTTGCAGGCTGCTATGGAAGGCTCGGTTTAGAGTCCAGTGGTGTTGCGGACACCCAGCTGTCGGCTTCCTCAGTGTGGGAGTGGAACAACATCCTTGGTGAGGACAGTGTGTGGGCGCCGTCAGGGGCCCGGCTCAACAAGGCGGGGCTGCCGTGGGCGTCTTCTCGGATGGACTCGCAGCAGTGGCTGCAGGTCGATCTCAAGAGGGAGAAGAGGATCACAGGTACACACGCAACTACACGCCATCATGTAAAAACAAACCCTTGCTGTAATGACCCGACACTAAAACCATTTTTTATTTGACCGTGTGCCTTTGATGAGAATCCCTTTCCAACCTCCCCCCTGCGGGAAATTTTACTCATGTACATTCATAAAAAATCCTTATGATCACCTGACTTCTTCTCTACCGCCACCAGCTGGTTATTTGTGGTTAACTATGGACACAGGACGAGCAATGATCCCTCGCTTCATCACCAGGATCTCGTTAATAGTGATATTTCTCGTTCTTCCCATCTGCCTTGTTAAGGTATCGCCACCACCGGCTCCACCCTGAGAGAATACCAGTACTATGTTTCAGCATACCGGGTCCTGTACAGTAACGATGGCCAGCAGTGGTCCACCTACAGGGAAGGGAATTCTTCACAAGACAAGGTAATCCAATCACCAGATCAATGAACCCTGCTTGCTATCTGTAACGTCATGGGCTTTTAGTTTTCCTTCTCCTCCAAATGAGTGCAAATGGACAAACGTGTCACCTTAGAAGACCGCGGGGGCTACGGACTTGGACTGGTTTCCATAGCAACTGGTATTGACGAAGAGATGTTTGTGGCAGGAAGTGAGAGCCTCCGTGGTTTGAGTTAAGTGCTGTGATAGACAAGCCGGGACACTCGGGCATTAATAATGAATGGATATGGATTTAGTGGCCGGGCTGCTGGGATTCTCACAGGCTCTTTGTGTGTGCGTGCGTGCGTGCGTGCGTGTGTGTGTGTGCAGACTAATGTGCCACGATAGTCCAGGGTACGGCGATACTGTGAAATAGATATGGTTCGTATGAACGGCACATTCTGCTTGGCTATTCCCAAATAGCGGTGCATTTTCTGATGACGTGTGTGATTTATGGTCCCGGAGATGCACGCCCCAAAGAAGCCCCCCCCTCCCTGCTGCTCTGAGCTGTAGGGGAAACGTGCGTACTTTAAAAGATGAAGTGAATGACTTGGACCGGCTGCTGCCACGTCACAGATAACAGGTTTTTGGGTGTGCAGCTTTAGGACGCACATCACTGGGCATTTTAAATTATTCAGTGCATTGCTGCATGTACACGGGAGTATTAGCCACAGGAAACGGCTGTTGTTAAATTCTTTCTTCCAATGTAGTTTGGTTTAAATCTGTGGCATTAATAAGAGTTTGTTCCCGTTTATTGGAAGATTTTTCAGGGCAACATGAATTACCTGCACGAGGTGAGAAATAACTTCATCCCCCCGATCGAGGCCCGGTTTGTGAGGATCAATCCAACGCTGTGGCACCAACGAATCGCCCTCAAGTTGGAGCTGCTCGGCTGCCAAAACCCAAACGCAGGTCGGTGGGAGGTCGTCGATTCGCACCGACGCCAAAAAGGCTCGCGCGCTCTCCTGCTCGATCCTAAACTCTCTGTTGCGGACAGGACGGGGCAAAGCAGAGCCGAGGTCGAGGGGGCCTCCCCCCTCCCGCCACGCACCACCTCCTGCCGGTACAAAACGGCCGCCCCACCTTAACGGAACCACACACACCCCGGACATTAGAAATACCACTATGCCGCCTCACACTGGCAAAGGTGTGTCCCGGTTTTGATTAATAAAAAATAAAAAAAAAGTTATCAAGAAGCTGCTTTGGTCCCATGTGGATGTTCTGAAGTTTGCTGCTGTTCTTGTCTCTCAGATGTGGCCCTGGCAGCAGTTCTGGTGCCCGTGTTGGTCATGGTTCTGACTGCCCTCATCCTGATAGTGGTGTGTGCTTGGCACTGGAGGAACAGGTGTGTGTTCTCAACAATCACGCAAATAAGAGAAAAAAATCCATCCGATAGATTTAGCCTCACTTTATTTTTTCTCTGTCCCGTCAGGAAAAAGAGCTCTGAAGGAACGTACGATCTCCCTCACTGGGACAGCACAGGTATGTAATCTGTCCCCGGCACAAGCGGACACGTCTCCGTCTCTCTGCGCGTCTCTCTGCGCGTCTCACTGCCCGTCTCACTGCGCGTCTCACTGCCCGTCTCACTGCGCGTCTCACTGTGCTCCCGCTGCAGACTGGTGGAAAAGCATGAAGCAGCTGCTGCCCTCTAGGATGGTGGAGACGGAGGACGCGGTTCGGTACAGCAGCAGTGAGGCGGGCCGGCTCACGCGGGGAGGCGCTGGACCCCGACTGCACGCTGAACCTGCAGGTAAAAGCCGGTTCCGGGAACCCGGTGGGATTTTTATTGTCAAAAAGCCGCTTTGTTTTAAATCACAGAAATGCAAGTTTCCTTAAGAGTTTGGTGAGTTCTCCCCCACTTCAAATTTTCAATTTTATGGTACAAGCTTTTGTTCTTTCCCTCCTCTATTGTGTCAATTCCTCCTTTTGAATAGAATGTCAGAGCCACAGGCGCCTCACACAATGGCCTAACCATCCCGGGATGCTGTGCTTTCAGAATACGCTCAGCCCCTGGTGAGCGGCGTTACGACGCTGGGGGCCCGGTCCACCTTTAAGCCGGACGAGGGGCCCGACCCGGGGTACTTCGACCCCGACCTGTACGACGCCCCCATCTCACCGGACGTGTACCACGCCTACGCCGAGCCCCTGCCCGCCTCGGGGTCCGAGTACGCCACGCCCATCGTGGTCGACATGGGTTGCCACCAGTCCTCGCTGAACCAGCCCGCGTCGGCGTGCGGTTTCATGGGGGCGGGGCCGGCGTCCCTGCTCCCGCGCACAGACGGCGGCCAGTCGGGGCCGTCGACCTACGACACGCCCAAAACATCCACCGGACAGGTCACGCCCACCGAGGATCTGACCTATCAGGTCCCTCAGAGTAGCATTCAGAAGCCAACGGGCAAGAGCTGAAGAGTCTGGATGCACGTGGCTTTAATCTGCCCCAGAGCCCCCCGACCCCCCTCCTCTCACTTCCAACCCAACAGACGGAAGAAGAGGGTTGTTGGCGGCGGCGGAGGAGTGAACCTGTGAGCTGGAGTCTTGAATGAACACTACCTTCGCCTTAGATTCATCTGGAGATGTCTGTATCGCCTAAATGTTTTTTTCTCTCCCTGCATGGCCACAACCTGCTCGCCACAACAGTCCTATCACTGAAACCACACAGATGAATGTGTTCATGCCGGCGCGAGAGGGAACGCCGACTACTGTTTGATAAAGACTTTGTCCCTGTTCTGTGATCCTAAGTAGTTGTTGCATTGTGTGAAACTGTGACTTCCATTGTTGTTCTTCTGTTACACGCGGAACCAACCGAAATGTTCCCGGTGGGTGACGGCCACCAACTCCAAAGGGTTCTTAGTGAACCAACGGCATTTTGCATTCAGGGCCCCTCGATCCACAGGAAAGGATTCCTCCTCGAGTCGTTTTTTTATTTTTTATTTTCCATGGTACGTCTTTGTCTTACTTTGTTTTAAAAAGCATGACTTGAAATTGTGTATTGTTCGAGTGATCCCATTACTGCAAACTCTCAGATGATTCACTGATATTTATTTTTTATTTCACAACCTGCTGATGCGAAGCTCTTGTTAAAAAGAGAAATAGCCCACCACTACCGTCACGGACTACACCGAGTTAGATTAAAAAAACAATTGATGTGATTCCTTGTCAGAGTATTCTAACTTGAAGAGGCTAATTAGGAAGATTCATTCAAATGGGATTCTCAAAGTGAAGATACTGTCACACGAAAGACCAAATGTTGCCCTTTCCAGTGTCTATGCAATGTTTGTTCTCGGCAGGACCACCTTTCACCGTTGTGCCAACAGCGCAAGTTTAGCCAAATGAACCATAAAGCAGTCTTAATGTGGGAAGAATGTTTTTAAAGGCCTAGTTAGTTGACGCACAGAAAAGAGTGAGATGTTAAGTCTTTTACAGCTGATCGTTTCCTAGTTCTCCGTGTGGAACGTTTCCACTTTGTGTGTGTGTGATCGTCTTGTGTCGACGTGGTGTTTTCTGAGTGATCTTTCCTTGTATCTATGTGCGTGGTAAATATCAGTGCAGTCGTTGTCTGTAGCACCAGCTAGACTGCATTCCTCTGCACCTGTGGTACCGATCTGACCAAACGCACTGTGGCAGTGAAGGAGCAGCTGCTTCAGAACTACAGAATATCCACCTCTCCTGGTGGGGGGGGGGGTGCTGTTCACCGCTGTGCCACCAATCACGCTTTGATTGTGATCAATAACCGAGCTCATTTACATACAGAGTTGCGGTGCTCCCTGGAGTTTTATGTGGCTCTCACTGATTGTACAGAGAAATAAAGAGTTTTAAAAGGAACGTTGTCATAGCATTTAAGTACAATACGCCATATGAGACTGTTGCCAGCGGACACGCATACTTCATACCAAGGCTCATTTTACGCATTTCTATGTTGCACGTTAGACATTGACAGTGCATCACCAAAACGGAAGGTATTAAAAACATTGCAAAAGTTCAAGTAAAACCAGACAAAAAGCCCTGATAAAGTTCCAGATATACAACACAATTCCAAATTGGATTTTCATGCTTTTCTCCCAAACCATCACTTGCTGGCATCAAAGTCCACGTCCCTAAAAGAATTGTCTGTCGGCCACTCGTGAGCGTCTCCGCCTTCAATCCTGCATCTTCCTCCCGGTCTTCCCAAACTTGAACCACACCACCGTGAGGACGACGGCCGCCAGCAGGATCAGGCAGCTGGTCACGAGGTAAGCCACCGGCAGGAAGTGGTTCTGACCCCCGAACCAGGTCAGCGTGGTCAGCACCACTTCCTTTCTGCCACGGAAGTACTGCACGGGGAAGTCTGGAAAGCACGAGGTCAAGGCCGAAAAACGGCGGCATCGCAGAGAGAAAGAGGAGCTGGGCGGAAAACAAGACGAGAACCGGAGGAAAGGGAACACTTGTCCCATCAAAAGACGTGGCGCTGAAGGATACTGTAGGACACGTTGAGGCTGTAGTTCCCTGCAGGCAGACCCTTGGTGAAGGGCGTGGCGGCTCGGCGCAGGACCCCGTAGAGCTTCTTGAAGTTGGGGAAGGCCGCCTCTCTCATCCACACTATCAGGTCGTCGTTGATGAAGCCGTTGTTGTTTGGGCTGAGGGGGTCGAGCTGGTACACGGGTTTGTGCCAGTACGGAGGCGGCGCCGTACCTGTGGGGGTCGTTGCATCAGACGCGACAAATGACGTGTCACCCAACCCCCCCCCCTCACCCCACTTACCATTAAACACTTGAGCTAGCGTCATGTTGCCGTTCGACGGGTTACGGTACTTGATGTTTTTGTCCGTGTACCAGGCGATGCCCGTCCGTAACAGAGGGACCACTTGGCCCCGATAGTGCAAAGTGAAGGAGTCTGGGAGGAGGAGAGGGGGGGCGGTGAGGGGAAGCTGAGGATGCACGTGCGCCGTCGTGATGGAGCTTACCGTTGAAGATGCTGTTGGCCACGGCACCACAGGGGGCGATGGGGCGGCCCGCTTGGTCCGTATTGAACGGTATGCAGTATGTGCTCGGGTTCTGGTCAGGGAACAACGTGCATGGTGAGAATAAGTATCTAAGCACTGATGTACTATGTGCTGTTAATCAGGTACTGCACTTCTATACAAATGTTTATTTCTTTCTAAGCATTACTTCACACAGGTTTTACATAATCTTTTTACATTTTACAACATCCTTTGGTACATGAAGGAATAACTTCATGTACCTTTTATAAAACACTTTTAAATGCAGGACGTCCCTTTTAAAGATTTATTAACTGGAGTAAAACACCCGATGCTTCAAGCTATCTGAGGGACATTCATTTATGTGTTTTACTTATGTCAACACAATGTTATTGTGATAAATCAGCACAGATTATTGGGGCAGTACCATCAATTTATTCTTCCTTCCAACCATCTGCCCATCATCTCTGGAGTCCATGTATCTGCGGAGGTTCTGATGGAAATTCTGGAGGCCGTAGTAGAAGAAGACGTCTCCCTGAAACGGCAGGAGACGTGCGCTTGTTGACTTTCAGCCTGACGGCCCGCAGGAGGCATAAAAATGTCGTGGGACACGTTTGAAAGAATCATTTTAACAACTGTTCTTACGCGCTTTTTTTGGGTGCTTGACGCCACTTGAGTAGAACCGAACGTTAAGATTTGCTGTTCGTTAAGGAATATTACCTTGAATGCTTTCTTTATTTCAAAATCCAGCCTGCATTCACAGGGTTCTGCTGCTTTGCTCGCATTTTTCCGCATGTCAAAACAGCCCTTACACGTCCCAGCCTCTGTGTAGTCCAGCTGAAAAGACAAGCAAGAGTCAATGGCGAATAAACTGTTCCTGTCAACGAAACTAGAAACAGAACCTTGGACCTTTGTCACTCCCTCTTTTTATTGCCCACGAGAGGCATTTTGTTTCTGCGTCTCTCACGCGCATTTTTAAATCAAATATTTCCACACATTAAAAGAGCTACTAAATAAAAAGAGTGCACAGTTCAAGAAAGCCCTCCTCACTCACCTTTAGTTCCTGCGTGCCCTGCACGGTGAGCAGCAGCCACACTCCCAGGAACATGCACAGCAGAGCCACCAAGTAGAAGAAGGGCAGCACGGTGTTAGCCGTTAGCATGGGGGACCAGGCAGGAAGCCTCTGCTGTTTGAAAGCAGAGTTGTCTGGTCTCTGAGCCAAAGGCCCAGACCTGCCCTTCACTTTGCCCATCAGAGGGACCGGCGGTCACGGCCAGAGAGACGAACCTCAGCGACAGCCGGAGACCCAAGGAGTGAGGGAGAGATGGCGCCGCTCGATCTTCTCTTCCTGTTCAAAAATGTTTTTTTCCCAGCAGGCTTTGCGGGGCCGGGGGGTGACTGTTGTGGGCTGTTACTCATTAACCACAATCCCTCACTACCTCTTTCGGTTTTCTCTTACTTTCATTTGTCTTTGTCTTTGTGAACACAGGTCCGTGTTTGTCCACATCTCAATGTCACAGACGTGTATTTATTGAGTAATATATCTTTATTTGAATATGAGGTCAGAGGTCAATCTTTGTTCTGGTCCGAGCCACCCCCCCCCCTCGAACTACATTCAAACGCTCAAAAGGCTGTTATGATGAATGGGACTCCCTCGTGGGCACGTCAACTGATGACCTCACACTCTCAGGAGGAGGGACTTCAAGGTCAGACTAAACAAACAAAAGGATGCTGGTTTCTCTCAGTCAGTTTATTCAATCCATCACGGCGGGACGTCGCGTTGCACAACAACGGCGCACAAACACCACCACACATTTGACTCTGAAAATAGCAAAAAGGTACAGAACACATTTTACGCCGACACAAAAGGGAGAACAAACAGGATGAGGCCCCTCAGCTTGTTGTGAGGAACATCGATTCGTGGCTTTGAACATCAAGGCCTTTGGAATCATCAGCACACAGCAGGTCAACAACGGCCGGTTAGTAGAGTCCAATTTTGACTTTGTCTTCTTTGCAGCGCTGCAGGATTCCGCCGAGCAGCAGCTTCATTAAGTCCAACTTGACCTGAAAGACACGTACGAGATATCAGATGAATCAAAAACATTCTTATTCAGTCATTCACAGTTGAAGACCTATGAAAAAAATGACAGACTCCATCATGCTTTGTAAGTGGGAAAACCTGCAAAAGTCGGCAGTGTATCAAATACTGTGCATGAATATGCAAATATTGTTTGTCAAAGGTTTCACAGCTCCTACTTCACTGGCAAGTCCATTCTCAGTGTGCGTGTGGTGGAGGGGAGAAGTCTTGCATTTCTAATCTAAAGTTCATAGCCTCAAGATATATAGTCAAACCAAAAGTTACTCATTACGCAAAGTGATTTCAGATATTTTGTATTCATACTGCATTATTTCAATTGGAGATTTATTCATTGGTACACATTGAAAGCTGTTTACACTTCATAACCAGCGCGCTCATTGTCTCCTCGGTCCAGCAGGGGGCAGTAGCTCACCTCAGGAACGTCCACCATCCTTCTGAGCTTTTGGTCCCTCCAGTTCCAGTCCAGGACCACGTACTTCAACGCCTGCAGGCTCAAGCCCTCTAAGAAGGAACAAAGAGTTTGCGCGGGTCAACCGTGAAGCTGTGGGAGGTCCGGTCAAACCGAAGGCCCGGTGGGCTCGCGCTTACCCTTCTCAACGAGAGCGCTCATCCTGCCGGGCGTCCCTACTCCTATGTGGGTGACGCCCTTTTGGAGCAGCTTTATCTGCTCTTCTATCTGTGTGCAGAGAGAAACCGTCCACGTTGCTAATTTTACAAACACGGCCCTCATCATCATCATCATCATTGTCGTCATCGTCATATCTGTTACCTTGATGTGTTTAGCAAAAAGTTTCACTGCTTTGGCTTCGCCCTTGAACACCGTCATCTGCCTGGAAATAACGCGGAACAAAGAAACCGTATGAACAACATTTAGATGGTTTCAAAAGGAAGGAATCAAACCAACACCTCATGGCGTATCGCTTACTTGATGAGCTCGATGGCTCGGAGGGCGGAGCTACAGACGACGAGCAGAACCAAGGCCCTCTTCTCCGTGTGCTGCTTTTGAATCTTCGACCACTTGGGGCAAACTGAAGGGAAAACAAAGTTAGACGCTTGCTCAAAAGGCCGACATTTTTAGTTGGGAACGCCACTCACCCTGTTTGAGAAAGGAGGAGATGGTGTGCGTCAGGTCGTTACTGGACAGGAAGCTGGAGTCTGCAGGTGCGAGAGGGCAGGCGGTGACCTCAGTCAATCAATGCAGCAGCAGTATTGAGCTGATTTCCCCGTTAGAGTGGACTCGCCCCGACTCACCTTGCAGTTTGAGATCCTCCTGCTCGATAACAGAGAGCTTGTCTGAGAAGTGCTGCGTAAGCAGGTTCTGCAGGTCCGACGGACAGCCCGGTTTTGGCTCAGAAGAGGACAGCACATCTGTAATCGTCTTCTTCTGATAAAGGAACCACAGCAGTGTACAGTGTTATTCACAGACCAGTGACGGTCGTCCCACTTAAATAAAATAAAAAGCAGGTGTCACGACACTCACCTTCCTCCTTCTTTTGGGTTTTGTTGATGGTTCATCCTCAGCGGCTTTCTTCTGAGGGGTAATACACTCTTTCTGTGAAGACAATACACAAAGAACGAACATGAGGATGAACCTGCGTGATCTTCAGGGGTCAAAGTCGAAGTTCATTATAATGTGGAAAACTATTTGCTCATCTGACCAACGGTGACAGTGAAAGATTTTTAATTGAGTTATTTCTTCCCTGACGGCTCAAAACAGAACAGTCCAATACGTCACATTGGTATATTTACTATATCACTAATCAGGACACTATTCATTACATGTCCTGATATCTATTAAATATAACAGACCACGTTCCTGATTATTCCCAATAGTTGTTTGCAAGACACAAGCTTGTGCTTGGTGAGCTGTAATAGTTCAAACTCAATTGGCAAAACATTACAATACCTGTTCAATCTTTTTCTTCTTCTTGGGTTTAGCGGTTGCCTCGGTCACACTCTTCCTCTTCTCTGGCTTCTTCTGTTCCTTCTCTTGCAGCTCTGTCGGTGGCGGCGCGTCCTCCTCGGCCGCAGACGCGTCTGAAAAAGGGGAGACGTTTCTTCGTTACACGTGTGAGAATATTGCTTTTACTGCAGTGCAAGATGCATGAGGATGACAATCAGCTTCACTGCCAACGTATGAGAACAACACACACAAGGACTTTGACTTTATGTTGTCGTCAACGCACACACAGAAACGGACATCGTAGCAGTGTACTGGTGGGAGTGTGCACGTGTCTGAGGGCGCATCGGGGGCCCGAACTCCACCAGAAATGACAGATTGTTTAGTCTGCTTAATGAAATAACAGTTCAACGACTTGTGTTGTCATCTGCTGCAAAATGAAACAAAATGAACTCAACCATAAATAGGATGGTAGCGGAAACACTGCCATGGATACGGGCATATACACTTACAGAACCCGTTTCCATGGTTTTACCCGTGCAAACCCTCGTCTCCAGGTAGTGATGCATTTCAGTCACTGCAGAAAATAAACTTTCCTTTGCGATAACAGTCACGCAGCAGGCCTCAATCAGCACGTGGTTCCATTTAGAGGCCCTGTTGCTCCCACTTCTGTCGCTACCTCTCATCTCTTGCTATGAGGTTGCACTCGGACCCTCCGGCACCACATACATGAGGGCTCGTTCAAAATACCTTAAAGACAGCTGGCGATAAATGCAAGGATTCACCGTGGTGCGCTTCCTTTTCTTTGCAGTTATCTGTCTCCATCTTCTCCAAGTGCTCACATTGTTTCAAATATCTGTGAGAACCAAAGTTTAAGTTGTAGTGCTGACTATTTAAATGATATTTCATGGAAGTTGCCAAAAACGTAACGAGAAGCACCACACACACTGGGTGTGTTCCATCAGGGGGATTTGTCCCTGAATGTTTTAACACAACCTCAAGAATTAGGTTGGAAAAACATGGTTGAATACAAGTGCTAGATGCAGGCTCATATGGAGGCTGCTGTTTTTGTCTGTTCTTAGCACTGTGTGTTACAAGGAGCTACCTGTGCGCGGAGTACGTCGCTGCCACGTGGGCACACAGCCGGAGGAGTTTTATTTAGTTTTGGGGAAATATTGTACGATGGTCTTACATTTAGACTGAGCGGATTGCCCGCCTGCAGCTCCGCTCACTTTGGAGTTACTCTCTCACTTTAGCAGGTCTTTTAATTCTATTATTACTAACCACACCCCTTCTCCACATCATCCCTCATCATCCCTGTTAGTAAGTCATCTGTCCTCCAGCTGAAAGATCAATCCCACTATTGATGGGTCAACTCTGCCAGAAGGGTGACGTAATCACAGAGGAAGACTACTGGTGGTGATATTTATGGGTCGGCATGTGTGGTTTCAGCTGGGAGTTTAAATGGGAGCAAGATATTGTAACCCGTTACCAAATATCTAAAAAGAAGCTGTGAGGCAGCTGGATAAAAAAGCCACTTTCGACTAAACTATGGGTGCTTCTACTCACGGAGCTAAACAGACATAACGCGCATAGTATAGTACCATTTCGGACTCTTTCAGGTCGGGGTTTAAGTTTCCTGTACTATAGTATGCAGGAGAAGAGAACACTGCTGGTCATTGAGAGGTCAGGGGTTATAGAACAATTGCTTTGGTTTTCTTTATCTTTGTACGTGCTGTCAAAGACACCATGTCTCTGGAGGATTCTCAATTCATGAGAGCCTGCGGGCCCAATGTATTTAAAGTCTTCCAATCTGTTTTTAATTAGCACCTGACATATTAAAGCCTGGAAATGGGTGGCGAGAGGCACGTTAGCGCTGATTAATCGCACGCAAAGAGCCCCTTTTAATGACGACCAAACTGGGCTGATGGCGACGTGCCTACCTGATCTATGAGAGTTTGAAATGAGACGCACGAGTGAACGATGCGCTTCTATTCATCACTGCTGCAGTGAATCAGCGAAGCACACATGACAATCAAAGACAATTCACTTCTCTTAGTATCAGAAGGGTCGACACCATTCTCCTTCAGTCAGCATCGACAGCGGCACCGACAGAACGGCGTTGGTCCAACTTCTCCTGCGGACATTTGGCGGGTTAACGTGTGAGGGAATCTGTTGCTGGTCGGCCAAAGAATGTCAACTAACACTCAAAGAATGTTCCATGAATCAATTAGTGGATTCGATCGACCGATCTGTGACGCCTTCTTCACGAGGCACACTTTAAACGTTGGTTTTCAGATATGTTCTCATTAGTTTCTGGGAAATAAATTGTTCAGCGTGAAAAAGCACAACCAAATGACTGAACTTGCAGAGGGCATTATTATGCTGTAAACTTAAAAAAGAAATGTATGATTGGATGTTTCTAAACTTTTTTTTATTTGATAGCAATGGTCTGTTGAGGTTTGTGGTAGTAAAGAAAGACAGAGAGGAAGTAAGAGGGAAAACTATTTCAAAGCAATACCCAGGGAACTATAAAAAAATCAATCGGCGATCAAATGACGATTAAGGAATCCTTACACTTAGGAAGCATAAAAAGAACCGATGAATGAACAGGTTTGCCGAGAATAAAAGGAGGGTGAGTGAACGAGAGCGGCTAACCAATCTGCATACTGGATAAATGAAACAGCAGGGTTGAAGTCTGATGATGTTACAGCTCAGCTAACTTGAATCAATGCAAGTCAATGCTGCGCAGAGGAGGCTCAGTGTTGGGAAGTCCATCAATACAGGCTGCTGGTTTTAATGCATGTGGTTGACGGGGTTGACTCGGTGAAGGGAGGCTCGATGGGCCGGGAAACGGTTTATTGTTTCACTTTCAGACAAATGGCACTTGGATTTGGCTTTTACTCTTTTTTGTTTTAGGGTTGCTGTTCTGAGCACCGCGCCGCCACAACCGATCTCTTAATCGTCAACAGTCGGCTCTTAGTCTGATTAGACACCACTTTTGGGTCTTGGGAGGACCGAAGGGTTCACTTATCCCTTCCCTCAGGCCCAAACGCGTCCCATTATGTCCCATCTAGCTGCTGGGCAGTATGGCTATAAATTCATATCAGGGTATGTTTTAAGATTCTGACGGTATCCTGGTATATCACGGTATTTTGTTTTTCGAGTAAACCGAAACCGCTCGCTAGCCAACGCTAGCTCGTTACCGCGCTAGCTCGTTACCGTGCTAGCTGTGGTGTCGGATAGTGTTGCAACAGAAGCAATGCCAGCGGCTCAACATACTTTGCAATAAGGTGAGGTTTAAAAATAAATAAATACATCAGTCTGTACAGTACTGTACAGTATGGCGGTTCGTAAAAGACTCGTATTGGTTCAAACCCAACTCCCTTTCCATGGAACCCATTCAGGGCCCGTTTAAACAATCAATAACTTATCTTAGACATGTGGTATTGAGTGATTTCGGGAGTGGTGCAGCAGCGATTGGCTCACCAAAGCCACATGCGTTATTGTTAAATCAATAGGGGCCGGGGGCCGCATGCACAACTTTAACAAGCAGGCTACAGCGGAGTGGCAGAGGGGAACGCCATTCTGGTTACAAATCCAACGGCTTCCATTACGTTCCTGTCCGACCCGCTCAGTCCACCTTGTATTCAATTACTTCTCTCCCTATAGATTGCAGAGTCGCTCATCCGGGGATTTGTTTTTACACTGGCTGACTGAAGTTGACAGAAAGACAGGTTTATAAATCCACAGAGTTCACGCGGTCTTGCCAAGGATGTACAAGCGTTTCCAATGAGCGATAGGAGCATGTTGTGCGATCTGTTTGGGTGTGTCAGGATATATTTTAGTTGCAACTTTGTTTACTTCCGGTGTGGGGTTGACCCTGTAAACAAAACCGCGCGTGCCTGCAGTAAGTTAGATCGGAGACGGCAGTTAAAGATGGAGAGAGGTTGTATTAGACGTAAAAACAAACACGACATACAGCGTAAAACTGTGCAGAGAACTTCCACCATGTGTCAAACAGAAGGGTGGCAAACGGACCATTTACGGACCGCTAGGCTAAGCTAGCTGCTAGGCTACTTCCACCTCAACATCTACCCTGCGCGGCACACAGTCTGCAGAGGACCACCACTGTGTCTCTAAAAGACGGGGGTTTGGAAACGTCCTCGCCAAATGTAGGGAGATTGTTGGCACTTCAAACACAGCCGTCAAATGATGGAGAGTTGAGAGCACAGATGAGCAAATGTTTCTAGTTTTGTGTTTAAAAAGAACACAATTAAAACTAAAATACACAATTTAAAACATTAATCGCATTTAATTAATTTCAAAATGTGGAATTAATTACTTCATTTTTAAATATATTTTTTAATATATTGACAGCCCTATTACATAGATATATCCAATGCCTGGGTACATGTGGGTTTGTGAGTATTGTCTCACATCCGCTGTTCCCCGCTCTGCTCCGGCTAAAGCAAACATCGGATCACATGATCTATGACCCGACCTGATCCTCTCAGGAATTCTCTCTCAGGAGTGGTTACTCGGGGAAGACATCCGCTACATTGACTCTCTTCATGTTCTGTGCAGCATTTGTTTTCTAATACGGTTAAGCCCCCTCCACCCACACGTTTGATTCGAGTGTTAGAGGAGCTCCTGATGATGTAGCAGAGGAGCCGCTAATCAGACACATGAGGGGATGTAAGAAACCCAAAGCTCTTAAGCTTCCACAACAACCAAATGAGAAAAGCCTTTCCTCCACTTGCCTTGTCAGCATATCGAACGTATGCACGGCCATATTGTGGTCTGCCAAAGATTATTTAAGACTTCTGACTCTTCTCTTCCTCCTTTTACCAACGGAACTTTCCCACATATTTTGCTTTCACGCCTCCCGTACTATTTCCCTGACAGACATGGGATGATGCCGTCTTTCATTCACGATCAATCATCGACAAAAGACTGATGCATTAAATGAGGGAACCAACATCCGGTGTCGGAGTGAGGATAGGGTTAATTGTGTTGGGAGTACTATTGTTCCATGAGCTCAACATGAATGACTTCTACTGGACCAACATTACATCATGAAAAAGCTGCGTTGACCATATTTACTGACGTCACTGCTATCACAATGGCTGTTTGC